CTGAGGATGAGACGGCAGCCTCCCCACCCCCCAAGGGCAGGACTCGGGGCTGCTGGCACCTCTGGTAAAGCAGAGAGAGAAGGGGCCCCATGGGGGCCTTGTGGGGAGGCAGCAGGATGTCCAGGGAGGGTCCAGGCTGAGGCGTGAGGGTGTGACCAGGTGGGGAGGGCAGGGCACGTGGGGGAGGTGCACAGAGACTCGCACGTGAAGGCGCCACGCCCGCCGGGCAGGTGGGGCAGGTGTGCCAGGTGCCGGCTCACAGGGGCGAGGAGGGGAGGGGCGGGGCCCTGGCAAGAGGAGCCCACCGGCAGCCTCAGCAGGACTGTGCTCCAGGGCCGAGGGCGACCCCTGGGTGTCTGGCTGGGGTCCTGAGGAGGCGCCCTTCCCCGGGGAGAAGGGCAAGGAAGGAGCCAAGGTTCCTCAGGACCCGACCACAGCTGTGGGCAGGGCAGGGGGCGGCCGGGCGGACTCGGAGAGCCGTTCCAGGCGCCTGCTGTTTCCGTGGGTGGTTTCTCCTCCCTGGAGCCCCCGCGGTGTCCGGCCAGGAGTGGTTGGGACGGGCTGGCGGGTGGGGCAGGGGGAGTCCACCGCTTTCTCAAAGCCTTCCCGGAAACCCCCTGCGCGCCCCTCCCCGCCCACGCGTGGGAGGCGGAGGGCCCTTGTTGACCGCTGCGGCCACCACAGGGGACCGGACTGCAGCGTCTCCGCGCCCGGCCCCGGGGGCGGGGCCCAGAGACGCAGGTGTGCATGGCTCCAGGTCGGGCTGAGACCCTGGGCAGGGGTGACCGCACAGGGCAGGGCTGCACAACACCCGGACCTCGGTGGTGGGGACGAGGAGCCCATGCCCGTGTCCCTCCTGTCCCCCCAAAGGGCTCTGTGTCCCCTGGCTGGGCTGGTGGGTGTCACAGCTTTCTGAGCAGAGCAGACTCAGTGGCCTGGGCCTCTGGGCGCCAGCCGGGCGGGGTGGGGTACCCTGGGGGGAGGGTGGGCGTGGCCACACACACAGCTCTCCTCTCCTCGGCACCCTGGAGACTGTGGCTGCGGATGGGGAGCTGGGGAGGGGCGGGGGAGGGGCGGAGAGGCGAGGGTCCTGCGGCGGGGCGGAGCGGCCAGACCTGCAGGTCTCCCTCCCGCCCCCACCCCCGCCCCCAGGGCCGGCTCTGGGAGCAGAGCGCCCTCCTGGGATGGCCTGTCCACCCCGGGGGTCTGTCCGCCTGGTTCTAAACCCGGGCGCCCTGTGCGTCCCAGCTCGAACGCAGGTGATCACACCCTGGGGACCGCCTACTGACGGCCACACTTCCTCCTGCTTTGTGCCCCTAACAGTCACGCCACCCACTCACCACCCACCCACCCGTCCATCATCCACCACCCACCCACCCGCCCACCCGCCCACCACCCGCCCACCCGCCCACCACCCGCCACCCATGCCTCCCTCCGGTGCGCGCCAGCACTCCTTCGTGTGCGGCCTCGTCCTGGAGGCTGGGAGCACAGACAGGACTCCGGCCTGACCTCAGTGGACCTCCAGGCCGGTGGGAGGAGTGGCCAGAGACCAGCCCGTGCTGCTGAGGAAGTCAGGGCCGCGCTGTGGTGAAGGCGGCACGTCACACAGTCCCTCCTGCCACTCGGGGCACCAGGTAGGAAGCGAGTCTCCTGCCAACAGTGTGTCCACGTCCACACGGAGGCTGTCAGCCAGGGAAGTGGGGGAGCGCCAAGGACGGAGGGCGCTGGGCTCAGGGGCAGCCGCAGGGGCCGCCCGGGGCTGGGAGCCCACAAGGGAAGCTGCAGTGGGCAGTGCTGGGGGTGGAGCGAGCTGTCCACGGGGCCCTGCACGAGACAGCCGCCTGTGGAAAGCACTCACGCAGAGACGGAGAGACCACATGACCGGGGCTCTCCTGTGCAGGCCCAGGATCGGCAGAGAGGGCCACCTGGCCCCGGGGAGGGGCTCTTTCCAGAGGAGAGGGCTGGAGGCGGAGAGCAGAGCCGCCCTGGACGCATGCGGGCAGGCGGTGGGACCACGCGCATGGTCCTTCTCCACCTCAGCACCTTCGGAAAGGCTGAGGATGACTCCCCCCACCCCCAGGGCCACCGACCACGCCCACCGTCCGGATTCCAGGCTGTGGGGCTGACTCCACACCCGTTGGAACCTAGAGACATGGGCTGTGCATCGGGCCTCCTGGGCCCGGCCCTGCAGCAGGGGCCTGGGCGTAACTGGGGTCTGTGCGGGAGACGGAAGGGGCCAGGAGGCTCACGAGGCGGGACGCCCGGGCGCCTGCCCTCCGCCGGGCTGTGGCAGTGGCCAGCACTGTCCGGCGGGACCCGTGCCGCGTGAATCCGGGGCACGGCCGAGGCGGCAGGAGGCCCCCGGGCAGCAGAGGCCCGCCCTGTGCCGAGCGCACCTGCTGTCCCCACGCGCGAGGGTGGTGGGTGCCACACACACTCCGACTGCACAGACAAGGCCCGCGGGCGGACCGCCCGGGGGAAGGCGCCCCAGGGGAAGGGGGTTAGCACCTGGGCTGTGCCCTCAGAGACACATCAAAGTGACAGACCCCAGGTCGGCCCCGTGTCAGTGACACGGCCCCGTGAAAGGGGCCCCACGCCCCCGCCGCCGAGACCCTCGGCGGGGCGAGGACCTCAGCCCCTCGAAGCGCACGGGCACAGACGGTGACGGGGTCCGGGCTGACTCGTTTCCGTGACCCGACACGTCCTTGCCCGCGAGACGCCCCGCCCGTGGGCACGCCGGCGGCCAGGCTGTGGGCTCACACGGCAGTGATGGCCGTGGCCACACAGCCCAAAGCGCCCCCGGGCTCAGAACCCCGGTGGGCCCGACACGAGCAGCCGAAGGCGCTCACCGTCCCGCATGCAGCGGACTCCTGGCCCTGGACGGCGTCCTTGCCCGTTGGCCGGCCAGGTGAGTCCAGGCCAGACGAGGAGCCAAAGTGGGCAAGGAAAGGCCGACACAGCCACCTAGGGGTGCTCAGGCGAGGCTCGTCCCTCAATAAACGAGGGACCCCTGACACCAGGCTCCGGGGTGGGGGGCAGGGGCCGCGCCGGCCAGGCCATCACGCTGAGAAGGGCCTTGGGGTCCAGGGAAAGTGGCCGGGCCGTGGCATTCCCCACCCTAAAGGGACACCTGCAAGAAATCAGTGTGACCCCAGGCGGCAGGCCCACCCGCTGCCTTGGGCTGGGGCTCAGGCAGGGTGGCTGGGCCTTGGGGACCCCAAGGAGCGAGCCCCCCGTGGCGTCAGCAGGCTCTCCGATGCCGTGTGGGTGTGTGTGCAGACCCCGCCCGTCTGAACCGCCGAGGGCAGTAATTCCGCCTGCTGTTCCCATCTCCCTGAGAGCGGCCGGCGGGCCATAATGCACAAAACATCCCTAACAACAGGAAAGTTTACTTAAAACCAAGGAAACCGCCCAGCCAGGCCCGCACTGAATGCGGGCGGACTGCTCCCTAGTTAGCACTGACGGCGGCGGCAGCCGCCACGTGCCGTGTGCGGGCTCTCAGGTGTGCAGGGGCCGAGGGCAGGCTGAGAGTGGGCTGAAGGCGGGCGGCTGCCTCCTGGCCGCTGGCCCCCGGCAGGCACTTGGCCTTTGAGGGTCCGGTTTCTCACGCGAGAGACAGACGGCAGTACCGCCCCCCTCACTCGGGTGCCGGAGAGCCCAGCCAGCTGGAGGGAGAGTTCTAGCATGAACCACGTGCTCATTAAAAGGGGCCCCTCGGAGGCTCCCGGCAGCTCAGGGGCGGGGCACACGCGCCCCTTCCCAAAGCATGAAAACGGAGGCTCCGGAAGTCGTGCGCAATTCCCGGGGCTGGAAACCGGGTCTCGTCCACACCCCTCCGCTGCTCGCAGGCTCTCCTGGCTATTTTGAAAAATAAGAACGTGTCCAGACTTGCTCCGCACCCCGAGGGCACCTGCGGCACACCCGCCTGCGGGCGACAGAGGTCAGGGGACACTGGGGCTGCTGGGGATAACGCTCTGCGCCCCTGGGCGGGTACGAGGCCGAGGAACACCCCCCACCCCCGCGCCAAAGGGAAACCAGACCAGCAGAGAGTGACAACCCGCCACCGGCCTGCCACCCTGACCTTGAAAACAGGAAGGCAGGGCAGGCGCTCACCACAGCCTCAGTCTGGCCTGGCTGGTCAGACAACCCCCAGCAGACCTGGGCGGGGCCAAGGGCAAGGGCGCGAGGAGGGACGGCTCGGCGCATGCGCGGGGGGGGGGAGGGGGCGGAGCAAGCCCAGACCGACCAACCAGGGGCACAAGTCCACTCACGCAACACACCCACACCCTGGGGGCCAGGCCGTTAAACAGACAGGATGTTCAAACCATAAATTTTTTTTATTTGGAAATATTTCCTTGATGGAAACTTCCAGTCCCATCCAAGAAAGTAATAAACGTGATTTCTTTTCCTTAAATTTCTGCAACGATGCCATTCAGACGGTCCGCAGCGCCCTACGGGAGAGATGATTCGTGGGGAGGTCGCACGGGTGAAGAACCAACCGCGGCACCGGCGCTGGCGGGGCTGAGCTTGCTCAGCACCCGGCGGCTGCCAGGCGGCTGCCGGCCAGAAGCCCCGAGTCAGGTCCCACGTCCGTGCGTGGAAGCAGAAAGTGCCAGGTTCTGGTTGTCGACCGCGGATGCTCCCTCCAGAAGGTGCCATCGCATGGGTGTTCTGTGCGCACGGCAGGGCACCCTGAACCCCGGGGCTGCGCGTCCCGGTGAGACGAAGGAGGCCCGGCCACCAGCTGGTGAGGTGACGCGCGCAGAGGCGCGCTCCCGATAAGAAAGCTGGCGGTGCGAGGATCCGTGGCACCGGAATCTGAGGTCCCCGTCCTCATCGGCTTCGCGGCAGACTGCGCAGAACGTGGGCGGGGTGGCTACAGCTGGGCCTTCAGACTCCCCAGGACGGGCTTGCGGGTGAACTCCGGCCACCACGAGGGCCGCTCCAGCACTCTGCTCCCCTGCAGGATGGCGGCCCAGAGGTTCCTACAGAGCTGCGGGAGAGGAGCACACGCACCCCGGTAACAAGTGGGCATCCCGACGGCCAGCCGAGGGCACACAGGCAGGTCCCCTACAGGCTTTTGTTACAATGTGGGGAATCCTCTCCTGTCCCTTTTTATGAAAATTTTATGACTGACATTCAACCTACAGAAACCTTCCTTTTTTCCCCAGCAGACAACAGGGAAAATGCAAGGATAAAATACCGTAATGGGTTCAGCAGGAAAACACCCCACATGGTCCCTTTTGGAGGAGATGCTGAGTCCTAGTTGTGCATGGCCGTGACAGGGTTCGGGGGGTGCGAAGTCCGTCCCCTGGCACCCACGGCAGGCAAAGCAGAGGTGCAGCCTTGCTGGGTGGTCCCCGGGGCCCAATGACCCCCCGCCTGGCCTGGCCTCAGGCCCCAGGCCCCACAGAGCCACCATCAGCTCAGCCCGGTCGTGAGTCCCAGGAGGCTGGCGGCTGAGTCCTCCTGGCTCCCGCCGCAGCCAGCGCCCGGACCGCGGGCCCGACGGGCAGACGCGCCCCCACCGTCCAAGGGACAGGGAAGGGGTCTGCTCAGTGTCTGGCTGGTGCCGACCCATTTTACTTTGAAGGACCCAGTCTCCCCGCACCTGCTGAGCACGCTTAAGGAGGTCCGCCCCAGCCCGCTGCCATTCTCGGCTCCTAGAAAGGCCCCCGCTCCGGCTTCTCCCTCGTGCCGGAGCCCGGAGCCACGGTTTCCACTGCGGGGCGCTGTGTTTCAGTTACCAAGGGCCCCAACCACCCCCCACAGCTGGTTTGCTCGTTTTAAATGAGCTCACACAGCAGCACCTGGTTAAACCATCTGTCCTTGAAACGGGAAGGGGGCACGCGGTACAGACTGTGCTGTAGGGCGCGGCCCCCACTGTGGGGAGGGTCCTCCACCGCCCACCTGCCCCTGCTCGGCAGCCGCAGGCCCCAGCGCTCAGCTGCTCCGACCCCTCCTCCTGGGCAGACACCGCCGTGGGCTCAGGGCCTCTCGGAAGACACCATTCCCAGGCCCTTCCGGACAGGTCACTGCCGCCTCTTCCGACCTGGTCCTGGTGGCCGGCCAAGCCCCCTGGCCCGAGGCCATCCCCTCTCCCTGGGGCTGAGCACAGCCCCCTCCTCCGCAGGGCTGGCCACACCCGGGGACCAGGGGGTGTTCTCCGGCCTCCTCTCCCGACAGACCTCCACCCAGACCTCGGCTCTGCCCTCGCTGGCTGGGCTCGCCCCGCGGCAACACTGGCGCAGAACGTGCACCAAATTGATGGGGACTCTCTCGTCCTCCCCACGCGGCAGACAGCACTCCCCGAGTGTGGCCTGGGGCGTGTGGAGCTCAGGACACCCGCCCCGGGTGCATCCGTCACCGCTGCATGAAGTGACCGTTCAAGGACGTCTCAGGGCCCCTGGGGGCGGGTAGAGGATGCCTGCCCCTCGGTCACCCCCACGCAGTGCCTGGGCTGGCGGCAGGTGTCTCAGTAGAGAGGGCGTGGCCTTGCGGGTCGGGGTGGAGGCGGTTGATCCTGCCCCACCACGGGCAGCTGCGAGGCCTCAGGTATGTCCCCACTGGGACACGGGGACGACCCCTGCAGGCAGTGCTGACGGGAGGTGCCAAGCGAACCTGCCGGCACTGGCATCTCCATTCCACGTGGCAGAGAAAGTCAGTAAGGACATGCGGGCTCAGCAACAAGCACCTCGAGGGTCCCACGGCAGAGCAAAGGGGGCACGAGCCTGGGGAACATCCCCAGAGGCCAGAGAAGATCCCCTCGGAGAGGCGGCCTTTGCCTGGAACCGAAAACGGAGCGAACGGAGGTGTTGCAGGCGGCAGCGGGGGCGGGGCCTGGAGGCCGGCGGGCAGAGGCGCACTGTGACCCGGGAGAGCTGTTGCACGGGCTGGGGCAATTTCAGGCCCAGGGGACGCTGGCGGAGCGCTTGGTCTCGGGACTGGCCTGACGCCGTCTGCTTAGGAAGAAACCACTCTGGGGGGTGGGCGAGAGGAGGGGTCGAGGAGCCACATGGGGGCCACCGGGGAGTGCAGGCTCGCAGGGCGAGTGGCGCCCCGGCGGACAAGGGGGCAGGCGCCAGCTCAGTGAGGCGGCCGGAAGACCAGGCCGGGAAGGGCCGTGGGCGGGAGTGCGGGGAGTGGCGGGCCATGGGCCCGGGGTCTGCACCACAGCTGTGTCACCCCCACTTCTCAGAGGAAGGCTCTGGGGGCGGAGGCCGCCCCGAAATCTCCTGCCGCCCCCTCCACTGCTGCCCTAAGGGGGGTGACTTCCCTGTAGGCCACCCCACAGGCTTGGTGATAACCAACTAGCCCCAGGCAGCCCTGCTGGGCAACGGTGGGAAGGCGGGGCGGGGGGAGCCCGTACCTCGCCGTCGGCCCTGCCGATTGGGGAGTCCAGGATGAAGTCGGGAGGGGCGAGCGCGTCCACCAGGGCCACCGCGTCGTCCTTCAGCTGTCAGAGAACGAAGCCCACACGCTGAGCAACGCCCCGCATCTCCGCGGTCGCCGCAGAGCTGCCGAGCCCTGGGGCTCGCCGCTCGACCCGCTGGCGACGGGGGCCCTGGCCCGCGGCCGGATGCCCAGGGCAGTGTCCCCTCGCCGGCCTGGCTCCAGGGCCCTCCGCGCACCTCTGGGTGGTTTCACCACGTCGCCACCCATTCAACACTCCCAACGCTTTGCTTTTGTCCGCAAGGTGGGGGCTGCAGGTGCAGCGACGCCCTGCAGCGGTGTGTCAGCTGGCCCGGGCCTGGCGCTGACTCACCCGCGGGGGCGTTGGCGCGCAGGACAGCGAGCCCAGAGAGTCACGGAGCCCATGCTCCCGCCCGCGGCTGCGCGTTACCCTCCCCCACCCGACCGCTGCGCAAGTGAGTCTTCAGTGCAGAACCTATGCAGACTCCCGAGCGTTTTCTTGAAACGCAAAATCAGTTTTTTTTTCTTACGATACTCGTGACGTGCCATGGCCAGGCCGAGCGGAACGCTGGCACAGGGGTGACTTTAGTGAAAGCAGGCGGTCAGCACAGAGCAACAAAATCCACAACGAACAGGGCAGGGCACATACCAGTCAGCCGCCGGGATGAACCTGGACTGGCCGGGGGGCGGGCTGTGTCGCTGTACCGGCGACCGCACGCTGGCCTCAGCCAGGGCAGCCGCCGTGTGACTCGGAACCCCAGGGGAAGCCGCCGCTGTCACTGGCAAGACCAGGGGAAGGCGAGGGGGCTGCTCAAGCGGCCCCCCGACCAAGAGCGGGGAGGTGGCGCTGGTGCTTACACCGGCCAAGGGGTCCCCGAGCTCGCCGCCCCCGAGAGTGCTGACGGGGGCCCTGAGCCGCAGGGCCCCACCCGGACTGGCGTGGCGAGGACTCGGCTCCGCCGGCTGCGCAGCCCGCGCGGCGGCCACAGCACAGGCAGCGCGCCCGCTTTAACCTCATTAAAGTGAAAGAAGATCACACCCCTCGGCCTCCTGGCCAGGCGGCCGCTGCCAGGGCCCCCGGTCGGTGGCGGCCGGCAGCCCGCGCGGCCCAGAGCACGCCCGTCCCTGTGGAACGTGCTGCCGCACAGAGCGCCACCAGGACGCTGCTGGGGGGGGGTCAGGGCCGCTGGGGTTCTCTGGGTGCCGAAGGTGAGAAAAGTAAGTTAAAAGTGAAGACCCGTGGAATGAGGCTACGCTGGGGGCGGAGCGACTTGGAATGCCGGGGCGGGGGGGCAAACGGCACTGGAGCCGGACGGGCGCAGACGCTGGGGCGACTCCGGGGCATCCCCAGGGCTGCCCTAGTCCTGAGGTCTCTGGCCCCGGAGCGTCCCCGTGGGCCTCGTCGGCTGTGCTGACAGCGCATGCGCGGGGGGCAGCGCTGACGTCACTGCGCGGGGAGGGCAGCCCACCTGCGCACACAGCTCCAGGATGGCGCTCTCCATCAGCTTGCTGTCTCGCTCCCCGGAACAGTAGCCGCCTGCAAGCACAGTGTCTGTCACCCCAAGCTCTGCCCCCCAAGTCCAAACCCTCCCACGAGTACCAGTCACCCCAAAGCCGCTCCTCACATCAGCTGCCCGAGCCCAGCTGAGCTGCGACCCCGTGGCGACCCCGCAGCGGGAACAAAAGGCTCTGCTGAGCGATGAGGCGGCGGCCACAGGTGGGAGCTGGGGCCGCAGGAGGCGGGTGGTCCGGTGGGCCCCAGGCAGAGGGGCCCAGGGGAGGCCGGCGGGCTGGGCTCCTGCCTGAGGAGGCGTGGGTGGTGTCGGGCATCGGGATGGGTACGAGGGGAGCGAGGGGCTGGGGGTGGGAGGGGCCATGCGTCGGGAGCAGCCAGCGGACAGGTGCTGCAGGAGCGACTCTGGTCTGACTTCTGCGGTAAGAAGCCTGGGTGCGGGCACTCCAGTCGGCGTTTCTCGCAGAGCAGGGCGCTCTGCCCCGCCCCCTCACAGCCTCAGCAGGGCCGCAGCGGCTGAGGGCCACAGCATGGGCTTTTGGCGAGGGGGAGGGGCAAAGCCCCCAGTTCACAGGGCCCAGGTGCATGCAGGGCTAGAACCGGTGCGGGGACTGCGGGCGGCATTAACGTGCCGGGGCAGTGAGGGGGAAATGTCTGAAATGGCTCTGCACGGGGGCGATAGCGGGAAAGAGCTGGGGAACTCAGGCCTACCCCATTCCTACCAGCTCCCCAGGCATCACCTCCTCTAGGAAGCCCTCCTGGCCCCCAGGTATTCATTCCTGCGGCGCCTCTCCCACTATCCAGGCTCCAGTCAGAGCCCCGTGGGCGCCATCCTGATGCTGCTCTGCCCACCTGCCCTCCCGCTGTGGCACCCAGGCCCTCGTCCGCCACAGCCCCCAGCACAGGACGAGTGACGCCACGCTGGGGACAGCGAGGCTCTGGGGCCGGGCGGGAGTGGCAGGTGCCCACGGCAGGGGCCTCACCTCGGTAGAGCAGGGCCATGTGCTGGCCCAGGGACCACAGGCCATAGAGGGCGCTGAGCCGCTGGAGTGGGGCCCGCAGCGAGGGTGGCACGTCGGGCTGGTGCGTGTGCTCGTGGAACCTGCGCAGCACGGTGAGCTCCAGGAATGCCAGGGCCAGGGAGCGGCAGCAGTAGACCTGGGGGCACACGAAGGGGCCACCGCCCCGCCAGTGAGCGGCTGCTGGGGACTCCCAGATGTGCCAGCCACACCGTCACTCCACAGCGGCCCCCTCGGAACTGGTGTTTGGAGGGGGCATGCACCCATAGCAAGGGCCCCACCCAAGTCTAAAGTGGGGGGATGCCCGCCCCCTGCCAGGTCCCCAACCTCCACAAGAGTCCCAGTGCCAGCTCCCCCCACTCGTGAGCCCCCACCCGCAAAGGCCTCCAGCCTCAGGAAGGGAAGTGATGAGCCCACAGGACCCACGTACTCCCCCCACCCAAGACAGGTGTGCCCAGCAGGTCCCTACAGATGTCACCAGCTCTGCGGCCGCCCCAGGGCAAGGCTGCCCCTCACTGAGAGGGAGGAGGGGCCAGGAGGAGACAGCAGAGCCTCACTACGTGACACCAAGGAGAAAGGGGGGCACCACCACTGCAGACACGTGGGGCGCACAGGTCACAGAGGACCGGACCCTGGCATCACAGGCCAAGCGGGGTGGGACCCAGGCTGGCACCCCCACCGCTCCAGGTGTCTAAGGTCCCTGCAGCCGAGGGCCTACCTGCAGGAACCCCAGCTCGGGCTGATGGGCGGGGCCCCGCCGGGCACTTTGAACACGGTGCCCGTAACCTCTTCCACACCCAGCGGGGGCGGGGCCGTCCCCACCACCGGCCAAGGCACAGGGGTCAGGCAGGGGCCCGAGGTCACAGGGCAGGGAAGGCTGGGGCCACCTCTGTGGGAACCCAGCGGGGCAGGAATTAGGGACAAACAACATATACAGGAATTTTAGAAAGAAGACACACCTGGGAGTTGTTCCTCGCTTCAAAGTCGCTGATCCCGGACTTCCTTTCCTGGTTCAGTTTCTCGTGGCTCTCTCGGAGCAGGTAACACACCAGCCACTTGTACGCCGCCAGGGGGGCTGCAGATGGGAGCAGAGGAGACCGTGATGGCAGAGCGCCCATGGGTGCTGAGGACCGGAGCAGCGACAGGGTGCCCATGGGCACCGAGTACCGGGGCACGTTCTGGGACGGATGGCACTGCGAGCACCTTGTGTGTGTAGATGCATGTGTGAAATGGGTCCACTTTACAGACAGGGAAACTGAGGCAGGCATGGGGCAGGGCTGCACCAGGGCCCCACTGAGTGGGGGCTGGGCCAGGCCAGGTGCCGGTGAGGATGTCTCCTGGCTCTGCCAAGAGGCCGCCCCCCATCCCACACTGTTCTGGTGACCAGAGGCCGCGGGGTCATGACACCACGTCTGCGTGACCACCTCCCTTGGGACGGCTGCGCTCTGGCTGGTGCCCACGGGCCGAGTCCTCTCAGCCTCCCCGGGGACTGGCACGGACATTGGGAGACCTTTCCGGCAGGGGCGTCACCCCACAGGGGTTCCCCAAACCAGCCCTTGGGGGAGCAAACGGGGACGCAGCACAGCGGGGTGCAGACCGGCAAGGACGGGCTGGAGGAAGGCCCGGGGGAGGGACGGGGATGGGGAGAGCTGGCAAGAGGGGAGACGGGCGGGGTGGGGGCGGGATCCCCCGCGGGTCCTGCTCCCTGTCCCGTCTCAGCCAGGCCGGACGATCCTCACGGCGCCGCCCACAGACCAGGCACATTCCAGGACCTGGGGGCCCTCGGACCACCTGCCCGCCCACACTGCCACTGCCCCTTCCGATGGGGACCCGAACAGGGAGGCCCAGGCACTGCAGGGCAGGCAGGGGTGGGGGGCTCTGATGGGCCACGGGGCTCTGAGTCTTTGCAATTGAGGGGAGACTCTCGAGAGGAGGTCCCCCCGGACTGGGGTGGGCCCTGGACCCCGGGAGAGAGCCCTTCCACAGGTGACGGGAAACACAGGCACACGGAGGTGGCCAGGGGACGACGGAGGAGGGACCAGGTGGATGCGGCCCCAGCCCAAGGATACCAGGAGCCACCAGAAGAGACAAGGACGGCCCCAGCACGTGACCCGAGGGGTGCAGCCGGCTCCCACCTCGACTGTGGACCCGGTTTCCCCACCCAGCCCGTGGGGCTGGGTCCCGGCCGCCCAGGACACGCACACCCGGGGCCCAGCGCACACTCCGGAGCCTCCAGTGCGGCCTGCACGGTGGACGCCAGACACCTGTGCTGCACGACAGCGCCTCAGGGACACACACCTGCTCCAGGGTCTCGGAGACTCTGCCGCTCTGAGCTGTCCCCGCGGCGGGGACTGCCACCAGCCACGGCCCCATCTCCACGGCTTACTGACCCAGCAGCCAAGCCAAGGGCTTCGCCACCACCAATGCCAGAAGCCACCGCACCAGCGCCATAACCAGGCCCGAGGGGACGCCGCAGCACCCGGCTGTGGTCATGCCGGGCGTGCCCCGGTGCCTGAGGTCAGCGCCCCGTTTGGAGTTTGCTTCGTGCCGCGAATGTCAGGCCAGCCCAGACCCGGGCTGTCGGGACGAGACTTTTTTCCTAAAACTCTCCTTTCAGCCGCTGGTTTCCAGGAGCACGTCCAGCACGCCGCGTGGTTTCAACGTGTCCCCGCGGAAGGGAGGGCCCCGCGAGCTCGGCCGGCACGAGAACCCTGCGGGTCTTTGGGCGTGAGGAGCCGCCGCTGAAGAACCAGGCGGGGGGCCGGCCCAGCCCGCAGCGAGGTTCTTGCCCGGGGGTCCTGGCGGCTCGGGACCTTCCCAGCGCTGGTTGCAAATGGCCGCCTCAGGGGCCCCCCATGTCCGCTCTGCACCCCTCAACTGCCCCTCGCCACGCCGGCGCCGCCCACGGGTGGCTTCTTCCTCCCACGCATACTCCCCACCCCACCCCACCCTGCTCCACTCGCCCCGGGGCCTGCGGCTCCCACCCAGCCCTGGCCCGGGGGCCTCTGAAGGTGCCCACAGGGCACTCAACTCATTGTGCAACACCACAATTCCCAGCATCACCACCAGGGGCTGCCACTCATGGGCCACTCCTAGCCACGCCGTCCACTCTGGCCCCTGGCCCCAGCCATCTCCACCTGCTCCCCGAGCTGCAGTTTCCTGGCGGACCTCCCGAGTCACGCTTGCCCTGAGCCCACCTCCTAAAGCGGGGCCCCGACCCGGGGCGCCTCCAACAGCACGGCCGGGACACCTGGCCCTAGCTCCTTGGTGGACACGCAGGTCCTGGGTGCCACCTGCTTCCTCGTCCGGGCCCACACGCCAGGTGCCACCCTGTGGTCCTGCTGTCCTAATGCACTCTCTGACCCCCTGGGGCCGCAGGGCCAGCCCCTCGTCTGCGCACATGCATGCGCACAAATCGGGACCTGGACAGAGCCCCTCCCCCTCCAGAGAACGGGTTCACGCCCTGCAGGGAAATCTCCGGCCCCCCCCACCACACAGGCTTTGCTCAGCATTGGAACGGTCCGTCCGAGGCTCCGGTCCTTCCAACTCCAGGGTTGTAAACCTCTTATGCAATTGTTCCTAAGATCCAGCTGAGGCGAGGGCCAGCCCGGGGACGTGGGGCTGGATGACCCAGTGCCCTGGGGACCGGGGTGGGGGGGGCGGGGGGCGGGGGAATGCTGGCTGCTGCTGCGCTCCCTTCTCCGAGCTCCAAGGAGAAGGCAGGCCACTCTCGCCAAGTCAACTTTAGCTGCATTTTTTTCCCTTCCAGAAAATGTTTTCACTTTGTTGGATCTCGCAAAAATTAGGGCGCGCAGAGGAAAAACGGATGACGCCGCCTGGCGCCCCTCCTGAGACCGGTCCGCGGAGCCGGCCCGTGTGTGCAGGGCGGCGGGGTCAGGCATGAGTGGCCCTGGTCATGTCTGGTTTACGACGGGTGGTGGTGTCGGGCAGCAGAATGTTCCGGCTCTCGCGCCCGGCCTGCTGCCTTCTCTCTGCCGCGGCGCTTTAACCCGAGTCATCGCCGCCGCGGACAGCAGCAACGCTCACCAGACGGCCGCCCCCACCCCCGGAAGGACGCCTGTTCCTTGGGTTCCCCGCTGCTTGCCCATTCTTCCCACCACGACCTTGGCCGCAAGGCCACCTCCTCAGGAGCCTGTCCCGGCCGGCCCAGCCCACACGGGGCCGTGGCCTCGCAGACCGCCTGCTTCTCTGACCGGGCCCTCGACGTGCTTGTGTGTGGCTGCCCCCGAGCCAGGGAGACGCCAGATGAATGCAGAGGGGCCACGGTTACCTGCGGAGTCCAGGCAGTCCTGCAGGCTGGCGACCTCGAACTTCTGGCAGAGGATGGCGGGATAGGCTTCCAGAAAGTCCACGCTCTTCAGCGGGCTCTCGAAGCGAGCACCATCTAGGAGCACGCCAGTCACTCCGGGGAGAGCCAGGGGAGTCCGAGCTCTGAGCGTGTGCGGGGGAGTGGACCCTGGCTCTCCCGCTCCCGCTCCCGCAGCAGTGACTGCAGAAGTCGGGCGGTCGGTCACCGTGTAGTAGCACCGCCCCGCCCACAAGCAGTGTCCGTCTTGGGAGATGGGCTAACCCTGGGGGCCCGAGAACTGACGTCCCGTGTGAGCTCAGGGGCTGCCGAGAGTCCCGTGGAGTCTCACCTGGGCCCCCGCGTCCCAGCAGGCCCAGCATGCGGCTCTCACCTGGGCCCCCGCGTCCCAGCAGGCCGAGCAGGTAGTTGCTGGTCTGCTGCAGCAGCACATTGTTGTCCCCTTCGTACGTGCAGTTTGGGTCGTTGTCGTCTCTGAGATCACCCAGACGGTTCACTGCAACGAAGCCGCATGGTCCCGTCACTTCGGGCGCGCAGGTGAGAACGACCGTCACTACCTGCCAACGTCAGCCCCGGGCCCGGCTCGGTGGGAGATGGAGCGCTTCCCGCCCTGCTCTGCCTCCCACCTGCCTTCCTGCCGAGCGGGGGACCCTCACCACGAGGCTCTTCCGGGACCCCCCCCCAGGGAGGGTGGCGGCAGGGACGTGGTGGCAGGTGTGTCCCTGGGACACACGCCGCGCAGCTGGTCAGCAGGGAGTGCTCAGAGGTGCACCCCGTCCCGGCGAGGTCCCCGGGCAGAGCCCGCCTGCCGTGTGGGCGTCGGGGACGGGCGCTCAGGGGAGCCGGCCGCCTCCTCCTGTCACTGAACCAGCCCTTCCTTCCACACGGGAGAGGCCAACCATCTGGAGAAAACTCTCACTTTCCTCTTGCCGTCTCTTGCCAGCTGAGTAACGCAGTTCCTGTGTGCATTTTATAAGGTGGGCCTTCCGGACCTCCCCCCCCACCCCCGGTGGGGGTGCTCTCGGCAGGAGGCTGGGAGGGAGGGGCCGGCAGGGGAGGGGCACTGGCGCACCTCAGGCTCACACGCTGCAACGCCCTGGCGGGTTTCCCGGACCCCGCGCCCTGCCAGAGTTAGACCGCCGAGCGGGAGGCGCGGGGGAGCAACACTGGAGAGACAACATGCAGCCGACACGGAGCCCAGGGAAGGGCCCGGTGCTCCTCCCTGCCGGGGGGGGGGCTGCTCAGGGTGGGCCCGAGGTCGCACACTGTACGAGTGAGGACACTGGGCGGGGTCCTGCCGTCTGCAGGGCGGCGGGACGCCGCCTCCTCAATGCGTACCATTGCTAGCGTCTCCGGAGCTCCAGCAGCGAACAGACAGCAGACAGCCCTCGGTGGGGGACACAGCTCGGGGCAGTGGTCACCCACACGTCAGCAGGTGACGGGAAGGGAGGAGCGTGGGGGAGCCGCGGGCCGCCCCGCCGGCCACCCTGCTCGAGAAGTGGCCGGGACGGACCCTCCCTGGAAGGACTCGACTGTCCACAGGCCACCGCCGAGACGCTCGAACTCGGCAAGGGCCTGCCATGCTCCTGGAGGCACACACTGGCGGGGAGGGTTCCGCCAGCTCTGGGGTTTGGCGCGTGCACAGGGCCTTCTGAGAGGAACTGACGTTTTACCTATCAACTACTGAAGGTCGGGACCCAGGAAGCCTAGGAGTGAAGCTGCGAAGAGTAACGATCACGACCACAGTAACCCAAACAACACTAGCAGACAGAGGTGACGGAGCACGCCCCACGTGCCCAGCACTGCGCCCGGAGCTCCCCGCGCATCCACTCCCTTCCTCACCACCAGGGCCCCGTGTGGGCCGCGGTCACACCCCCACTGCACAGACAAGAACACCGAGGCTCGGCGGGGACCAGGGGCCTGCCCGCCGCCACGCGGCCAGCAGGCGGCAGGGCCAGCTGCCCAAACACAGCCAATGCCTCTAAAACTGGAGCTCTTTTTCCTACTAATGTATCAAAACAAAGCTTGGTGCCAGTTCACCGCCAAGTCATTAACCAGGAAGTTACAACCCAAGTGAAGAGCTGTGCTCTTTCCGCCCTGGCTTTCAGTGGCTCCCCGGGACCCTCGATGCCTCGCACTGTCCCGACCGACCCCCACCTTTCCAGGAGCACCAGGCATGGGAAGGGGGGCCTGGCCAGCAGGGGGCGGCAGACGTGTTGTGGAAAGGGCCGGGCCGAGACTACTGAGCCCCAAGACGCAGTGTGAACACGGCACAGGAAATGCGCGAGCAAGCAGGCGTGGCTGCGTCCCAGTGAAACTTTGTCCATGCAAACCGGGGGCAGCTGGTGTAACCACTGACCCTAGTTTGCTGACCCTTGGTCTGGGGTCAAGTGGCAGGGTCAGGACAGGAAACCGTCACACACGCCTCCAAAACCTACCGGCCAGGTAGCCGTGTCCCCCGCAGGCCTCCCGGCATTCCTGAATCCCCCGCTGGGCGGTCCATGAGGCCAGGGGCTTCCCGGCCGACGCCAAGGCATGGATTTCGCGTCCGAGCTCTGCCTGGGGAGGGGAAGTCCAAGGAGAAGGGTGGAAGGAGACCCCCAGGCACAGCGGGAGAGGTCAGGTCCTCCACCGCGACCAAGGCATCCGTGCCCTGCAGTCTCACCCCGCCCACCCGACCGCTCCAGGAGAAGGCAGGGTCCGACTAAGAACGGGCCCGCTGTGGCCCATGCAGGCCGCTCCGCAGACCCCAGGGTGCAGGGTCCACGCTCTGCCCCGCAGACGGGTCCCCGGGGGAGAAGGCGGATGGCAGAAGCCACCTGCGGGGGCTTGGTGAGAGCTGGGGTCGACGCCACGCCGAGACCCTGCTCGCCGGAGGAGGGGGAGGGGGCCGGGCCTGATGCAGCCCAAGCGGTGGCCCTCTGTCCGCTCTGCCGGGGCGCCCCCGCCGGGGGCCCTGGGCCTTCCACGTCCCATGAAGACCCTCTGCTTCTACGGGGCGTGTGATAATAAAAACACTTCGGACAGACAGAGGCACATGGGCCTGCTCAGTGAGTGTTTTCCGCCTCAGACACAGGCAACGCCGAGGTCCCGCGGAGCCGGGTTAAACCAGTTTCAGAAGGGATAAAGCGTGATCACACTTTATAACGTTATTAACAGTTCCTGTGTCAGCTGGCAGGAGCGGCGGTGACTCATGCTGAGGGAAAAACACGCTTAACCCCTGCCTTCCGAGGGAGGGGAGGGGGTGCCCTTGCAGACCCGGGCTGGGCCCAGCCGCGCCCCCTGCTGGCCACCCGGCACCATCACGGCCCGGACACCGCAGTTTTAGGGAGGGCAGCCCCGCAAGGTCTTTCAGGGTGGCGCACAGACCCCCACCCGCGGCATTCCTCATCCGTCTGCGCACGCGCTGTTTGCGGTTCACTGTTTACACCTGCCCGGGAGGCAGTGGGGTGGCCACGGAAAGTCACTTCGTACCGTCTGCACCAGAATTGGGGAGGCCGACCTGGGTGGGCGAGCACACCCGTGTCTGGCCCGGGCCCCGGGCTGCCAGCGCCAGGCCTGGCAGCTGGATTCGGACCCGGCAGGGCTGTTTACGGGAGGGCCAGAGCCCTGAAATCTGCTGCGTGGCCTGTCACAGGGCTGCAAAACCGTCGTGCTCTCCGAGGACAACGGCCGCTGCACTCCGCCCAGCCGGAGCGGCGCCGGCGCCCCCTGGAGGAACGGAGATGTGCGCACGCGCCGCGCACGCAGACGTCGCTCCAGGGGCGGACACGCGAACAGCACGCGCGGGAGCCTCCGCCCCGTTTGGTTTAAATCGGCACAAACACGCGGAGACCAAGGGGGCGCCCTCACCTGCCTGGCGCTGCGGTCGTCCGCCAGGAGGCCTTGCTGCAGCTGTACGAGGTCCAGGAAAAGCAACTTGGAGAAGTGGTCCAGGGCGTAGGTGGCCGCCAGGTACGGCAGCAGGCGCCATTGCTGAAGTGCACAGGGCGCCCGCATGAATACCCCGCCGGGCTCGCGGGGTGGGGGTGGGGGTGCCCCAGTGCCCACCCGCTTCATGTGGGTCTAGGCACTGGGAGAGGGCGCAGGGTGCGGCCCCGGGTCGGGTGCGATCCGACGTCACCACCCACTGCCCCACTTAGCGTGCGAGGTCGTCCCGGGGCGTCCCTGACACTCCGCCAGTCCCTCTCCCACCCCCGCCACCCCCACTCAAAGGCACGCTGCGGGCAGCCCGCACGCCCGGCTCTCGCCGCCGCTTCCCCCAGGTGAAGACCGGCGCGGTGAGAACCAGTCCACCCGGGACCCAGGAAAACCGGCTGCCTGGGGGTGCTGCCTGGGGATGCCTGGTGCTCCGTGAGCTTAGAAGGGGAATGGGGAAAGGGGGAAACGGGAGAACGAGGGTCCCGGAGAACACTGAGCAGGTTCGCTCCCTCCCGGGGGCCAGACTGCAGCTGCCTGGGGGGAAGCGGGCCTGCGTTGCGTCGGGAAGAAAATGGAATCCCGCTGGGAGGCCCCCCCCACCTGCAGCTGGTACTCCAGGACGGGGATCTCCTCCCCGTCGGTGGGTCCGAACTGCCGCCGGGTGGCCGAGAAGCGAAGGGCTATGCACACGGCCAGCTTCAGGTTAGTGACGGACATGCCCACGATGCAGACCCGGCCGGTGGACAGGGTGCCCAGTGACGCCCCGAAGCGCTGCCTGTCGTCCTGCGGGGAAAGCAGTGAGGAGCGTGGATCAGACCTCCACCGTGACCACCGCGGCCACCTCCAGGAGTGTCTGGGTCTGTCTCCAGATGGCTGTCTCTGCTTCTCAGACGCCCTGTCACATGGCCATCTCCTCATCTCTAGGCGTGCACCCCGCCGCGTCCACGCCCGGCTCGAGGCCTGCAGCCTGGGTGGGGTCTTGGGGGGGTGGGCGCTGGTGATGCACTCTCTGCCCCGTGTCTGGAGAGGGCCCGAGGTCACACCGCTGTGTCTGCCACTCCGTGCACTCAGCGGGGGCACTGGACTGCTCTGTCACCCTCATCTGTGGACCAAGCAACCTTTCACCTTTGGGGGGACTCCGTGGGGTGCAGCACTGTGGTGGGGAGGCTCCCTAACTAACCCCGAGGGCTGGCAGGCAGCTGTCAGCAAGCGTCTGTGGGCACGCTGGGGACCAGGCTGGGGACCCCGGGAGCATGGCTGACCCGCACGCCCACTGCCCCGGCGCTGGCAGCGGAACCCCGACCTCGAGAGGCCTGCCACCAGCCAGCCTGGCTCCGGCGGCCGGTCTGCGGGCTCGGGGAGGGGGGGGGCTTCCCCACCTGGAGACACCTTACCTTAAAGTGGGTGACGTAGGCGCCCTCGGGGGTGACGTCCCCGGTCCGGTTCAGGAGGTTCTGACGAGGGACCCTAACTTTGTGGAACATGGCGAACCTGCGGGGATGCGCGGGGCCTCGGGTCAGATGGTGCCTGGCCTGGCTCCCTGACACCCAGTCAAAGGCAGTGAAGGACAGCAGGCAAGGTGACAGAGTCCCCCAGGACACAGGAGACCGGAGAGAGAACACCGGGGGACGGGAGATTCCAGCACACTTTTTTGTCCGCAACAGCAGGTTTAAACAGCCGGCGGGGAGTGCGTGGCGGGGCCCCGTCCGAGGCAGAACAGCGGTGCTGCTCCAGGCGGGCTAGGGCGCCGGCGTGTGCGGCCCGGTCCCAGGGCCACTGAGCGAGCTCCTGAGGCTGAATGGGCCTAAGTGTTATACGTGCAAAAGTGCTTGTATGAGTGTTCGGGAGGCAGTTTCACACCTTCCCGTTTGCACACTGGACGAACTCTCCCTGAGGCAGTCAGCAGGGGCGGGCCCAGGGGCCCCAGCCCAGTGTCCCCGGGGGCACGGGGACTCGTGTGTGTGTGTGTGTGTGTGTGTGTGTGTCCGGAGCTCCAGGTGGCCGCCCCGCTCCCAGGCGATGACACGCCTCCCTCCAGGGAGCAAGCACATGCAGCCCCTCGGGGATGCCCCTCCAGCCACTTTCCAGGGGGCATCCCCAGGCTGAGGCCCCGCCTCCCCTCGGAGCCCCGGGCTCCAGTGTCCGGCAGCTGCAGGTTCACGGGCCAGAGTCTCACTTGAGCGTCTTTCTTTCGCTTTTAGAGCCATTGGCCTAAGTGTGTCCACAAAACTCGTGTCTGCCTCTGATTTCTAGTCAGCCCACACCCTCGGAAGTTGTGAAATGACAAAAGCTAACGTGTTTTCAGGATAACTGACCTCAGACAAAAGAGAGAGGGAGAACCCCACTCAACTCTAACGCCGAGGGCTGAGCAGAGGGGGAGGGTGGGCAGCCACGGCCGTCCCCCCCCCCCCCCCCGCCCCGCAGGGTTTCCTGTCCTCGCAGCCGGAGCGCCCTCTGCTGGGCAGGTGGTGCAGGGAAGGAGGAGGGAGGGGAGTATGCTGGGGACCCAGACCAGTCACTGAACCTTCAAAGGCTGGGGACCTGGCCTGGCCACTCCCATAGTCTCACCAGCCTGCCACGGAGCGGCTCCACGGGCAAGGTGTCACTGTGGTTTGGTGGACCTGCCCTCAAAGCCCCCCGGGGGGGGGGTCTCTGTGTGGCCCCTGCCGGGGCCAGTCTCAGGTGTGGGGCCCCGCCTCCTAAGAGATGGTCTTCGGCCTCTAAAATACGTGCCCGTTGGCGGGACCAAGAGCGGGGTTTCCCAGTGAACGGAGACGCTTCCTGCGCAGCTGCGGGGGACAGCACTGCCAGCACAGCCTGCAGCCACCACTGCCCAGGCCTCGCTTGTACATGCAGACCCCCCCAAAAATGGGGGTCCTGGCACACGAGTTTTCTGAGCCCCACGCTGGAAGGCACGGCGCCAGAGAAGGACGCTGCTTTTCCAAGTCCAGGACGAGGCGGCGTGGCCACCCCCACCTCCTGCAGGTCCCCCGACGCCTCCGGCCCACGACCAGAGCCATCTCCTCGGTCACACCGAGCTGCGCCACCACCTGGCTGACAGCTGAGGGTGCAGGGCCACCGGCCTGACCGTGCCAGGCCCCCCCACAAAGCGGTGGTCTAAGGCAGCCCCCGGCCGACCAGGCTCCACTGTTAACCAACAGGTTCTTTGCACGAGCCGGCCGGAGCGGCGTGGATGCTGAGTGAGCCCGGGTCAGGAGCCTCTGCGCCTGTTCTCGTGGGCGGCAGCTTCCACTGTTCCTTTCTCACACCGACTCCGTGAAGTCAAGGGCTCCTGGCCCTCTTGGCACAGCCTGGGGGGCCCAAGCAGAGACCTGAGACGCACCCCCTGTGCCCAGCACCCCTACCCCAGGGGAAGGACAGGGGAAAGGAGGTTCCTCCATGTGCCCGGCACCCGTGGGGACCACCCGGTCCGGCTTCTCTCTCCGGAGCTGGCCTGCCTCCTGCTTTATACTCAAAATACAAACCATGGTTGGGATGACCAGTGAGGCCGAGCTGCCGACGGCAGGTTTCCCCTCCCCTCTCCCGGCCACCAAGCAGCAGGTGAGTGAGCACTCTCAACACGCACAGGCGAGACCCTTGGCCGAGGGACGCCCCGGCTTTGCTCCCTGCACCCCAGTTACAAACCAGCTCCCAGGAACAGAGGGGCAGGCCCTCAGCCAGGCTTCCTGGGAGACAGTGCGCCGTGGGCACGCACCCGTGGAGAAAGCGGGCCCGCACCCGTGGAGAAAGCGGGCCTGCAGCGGACGGCCAGGAATGTTGCCACGTGCAGGCAGGACCGCCAAGGGTGTGGCGCGGGGACTGTTGTCATGCCCACGTCACCGAGGAGGAGACAGGCTAAGGAGGAGCTTGAAGGGGGCCCAGGATGTGGGCTCAGATTCTTCTGCTCCCCGAGTTCATCCTGGGCACCCACATCAGCTCAGGAAGGTGTCAAGGCCCCCAGGACAGGACCCCCTGCATGTGTGTCACCTGCCGGGCCTCTCACCCTCCCCGACCCCGGAGCCGACACCGCCCCGCCCCCGCCATCCATGTGTGCGCCTGCTGGATGCTGCAGCTCCAGGAGGTCGCTGACGGGGACCTCATGGTGGGGGGGCAGGGGCGGGGGGTGAGGCAGGCCCTGGGCTGAGGCCCCGCCAGGCTGCAGCTGCCTGCCTGGGCGTGAGGACAAACTCATGTGTTCACACTCGGGTCTTCCAGGCCTCCCGGCGTCGGGTGGGGATGCAGGACACGGCCCTTCGTGCCATGGCTCTCGGGTGCGGAGGGGAGGGCTGTGTCCCCGCCACGTGTCTCCAGACCCACAGGAGCATGGGGAGGCGTAGGGGCAGTGCCGGGCACCCCCGTGAGGTCACAGGTGTGAGGGGCTGAGTGGCCTTGGGCCCAGGACGAAGCTGAGCCCACAGCCCGAGGACCGAGAGAGACCGCGGTGGGGGGCACTTACCCGTTGTCCAGGCCGTTCTGCCCGATCTTCCTCCCCATGTCGCCCACCATCACCCCGGGCATGGGGAGGAGGGTCTTCGGGTCCCGGATCTGCACAGAGCACAGCACACGGCGCTGCAGACGGGTTTGTTCAAACCCCGAGGGCCATCGGCCCCAAGTGCCGTCCCCTTGGGCAGTAACCTTCCTGTTTGCGACCCAGGAGCGGGCTCCTTCGTTGCCCCCCAGCCAGACTCCACGTCAGAGCCCCAGGAGTAGCCCTGGACCTGGCTGGGCGGTCCAGACCTGTGCTGAGTGTCTGAGATGATGCCCACGAAGCCTCGAGGATGGAGAGTCCTCCCTGTGCCCAAGGACCCCAGGCCCAGGCTGCCCAGCAGTGGCACCCAGTACCTGGGGGGACCGCCCTTTCCCGGGAGGGCGGGGCTGCCCCAGGCGCTGTGGGGTGTTGAGCTGCATCCTTGTCTACTCACTAGACACCCAAGCGCCGGCCCCCCAGGGGGATGGCTGTGTTTCCAGACACCGTCCCGGGGGCTGGCAGCCCACCTGCACAATAAAGGGGTACAGGCCGTGGCACTGGCCCCCCGGCATGTACAGCTGCGCGAACACCACCGCGTGGGTTGAAGTCTTGCCCATGTTGCCGACCCAGAACTTGGCGGCTTCAAAGTCGGGGGAATGGAGGACGAACTCCTGCGCGGGGAGAGAGCGACGGTCAGCGCGCGCGCGCGCACACACACACACGCAGAAGCCTCCTGTTCCTCTGGCGCGCTCCCGGCTCGGACCCTTCCGCTGAGGGCAGGGACCGGCGGAAGGTTCGCCCTCCGGAAAGCACCGCCGCCCGGCCGCACACGGAGCAGGTCCCTGGGCCGAGGGGCTGGAACAGGAGCCTTCCTGTGGAAACGGTGCCCAGTGTGTCCCACAAGGTAGCAATATACGCAACATCTCGGGGGGAGAGGGGGCCGAGCCCCCGGTCGTGTACGTTCTCCGTGAGACCACCTCCACCACCTTTGCTAGTGCCATTCCGCCTCCCGCCCGCGGGACCCCTCGCTGACCGCCAGTCCTCGCAGTTTCCGGGCGGGGCAGGAGCAGCCTCGCCCCTGTTGGCACCACGGATCTCCCGTGCACTGTGCAAGCTCACATGTGTGCAGACGGGTCTCGGGTCTGATGACCGTTTCACTCGCGACCGCACGTGGTTCCTGGGCTCGGAGCCCAGGCAGTACGGGGACGGGGGCGCCTACCTCGGTGGCGGGGTCGTAGTGAGCGGTCGTGCGGATGGCCTTGGTGTTACTCCCGTGGCTGAGTTCCGTGAGGGCCAGGCACCCGAAGATCTAGCGAGGAAGCGAACACGGAGTCGGGCAGCAGAGGCTCCTTCCCGCGGACCTGGAAGGGCCCCGCCCCCGCCTCGCCCTTGAGGTCCGAGCGCCCTTGAACCACGGCAGAAGCCCCAAACCCCCGTTTCCTATCTAAGCGACTAGCGGGCTCGCAGCATCCCACGAGCTGTGCAGGGCGCCACGCTGCCCGCCGCCCCGCTAGGTGGCCCGGGGCCAGAGCAGCTCCTGGGCAGCAGAGGGAAACAGGAGCTTTTGCCTTGATAAGGAGAAGCCGCATTCGGTCAGCACGGGGCTCGGCAGCCCCCTGTCGTGCGTGGCGTGAACGACGTGGGAGCAGCGTGCGGACGCCGTTCCACACGGTGAGACCCCGGCCCCCCACCCGCAGCTGCCCTTCCCAGGGACCCCAGGGGGACGGAGAGAGCCTGCAGGCGCACAGCCTGCCGCCCACTGAAGCTCACCTCCATCCTGAAGATCTTTGGGATGTATCTGAAATGTCTTTCCAAACCGGAGCTGTAAAGCGTTGACACGAAGAACTGAAAAATGTGACGTCATCCAGTAAACGGGGGGAGGTTAACAGAGCTGCCGCGCTGTGACGTCACTAGTGACGGCCCAATAATACCCCTGCCCCCTTGCTGCCCTGCACCGCCAAACTGGGCCAGACAGCCGAGTGCAGCCCCAAGGGGCTGGCCACAGGCATGCGAGGCTGCCGGGGCGGGGGGCCTGGGTCCCCTCCCAAGCAGTTTAAGCAAATCCAACAGAACCGCCCGGTCCACCTCGAGGCTCTGTGAGGAACACGGGACAGGGGCGGAGGGGGTGGTGGTGCCGGGGGCCCACTTTCCGTCAGGCAACTGGGCAGACCACGTGCTTTGCCAAAGGTTTTTTTGTTTCCAGGGGTGTTTTGGGGGGTGGGGGGATAAAGCAAAAAAGTCCCAAAGCTCCTCCCCTTACAGGGCATTGGCTTCGGCAGCGCCGTGTTTTCTCAAGGACCGGTGTGTGCTGATTTGCATATATAGGTGAAAAAACTGGACTTCTCACTAAAAACCCCAAGATCTACCCACATATTATAATCTCTGCTTGTCTCCTACATTATTCTTTTTAAAGATATCATTTATTTATTTTTAGAGAGAGGGGAAGGGAGGGAGAAAGAGAGGGAGAGAAACATCAGTGTGTGGTTGCCCCTCGTGTGTCCCCTACTGGGGACCTGTCCAGCAACCCAGGCATGTGCCCTGACTGGGAATCGAACCTGAGACCTTTTCGGTTCACAGTGGATGCTCAGTCCACTGAGTCACACCAACCAGGGCTCCTGCGTTGTTATTAGAAAACTCTTTAAACAAGCATTTCCCCAAACACACAAATCCCCAGACAACGTTAAAAGCAAGTAGACACGAACAACCCCAAAACCATGGCGGCAAGTGTCTGAATCCCACAGGCTGCGAGCATTTTCTGCGCAGGAGTTCCTGTGGCAGCGGCAGCCTTGACCCAGGGCAGGCTGGACTTTCCTCCCCTGACCTCTACTCACAAATGAGTGCAGGACGACCTTGGTGGCCAGGGACCAGTCGTACATGCCCAGAGAGTTCGTCAGCGCCAGGAATTTGAGCGGGCTCTGCGGCAGTTCCGTGGGGGAGAGGAAGTCGTACTCGAAGATCCGCTTGCAGCGCCGGAAGGTCAGCTCGCGGTACTGCTCCAAGGAGAGATCGTGTCCCCTGGGATGGGCGAAGAGGGGGTCTTTCTCCAAAGCCGAGAAGATGGTTTTCTGGAAATGCAGGAAACGGGAGAACAGTGGAATCTCACCACCACGCTCTTACTTACCCCCGTTTTCTCGAGGCTGCGTGGCGCACACAGTCCAACCCAGAAACACTGGGACTGAGATGACAGTCCTTCCCGGCTGAGGCTTAGGAAGCTCCGACAGGCTGGGCGCCCGGACAATTCCCTGAGGCTCCACCATCCCGAGGTGCAAAGAGGGGCCCGGCCTGCGCCACGCCCAGGGACAGCCGCACCCTGCAGAGGCGGACCTGAGGCCCAGGAGCGCAAAGCCCCATCTTTGCCAGCGAACTGGGACGACTACCAGACCCCTCTGTGGGGCAGCACGGCCTCACCTTAAAGCGCAGAACGTCCTCGCCTTCCCAGAACAGCGCCAGCTCCTTCCAGCTGAAGGACGCGCGTGCGCGGTACGCCTGCAGGGGCCCCCTGGGGAAATCCGGGAACAGAGCGTCCTCGCTTCCTTTCCGGGTGGGTGCCATCGTTTGACGTCAACCTGTGCAAAATACACAGCCTGAGCGGGTGCTCCAGTCATTCTGTTCACACCGTCCAGCAGCACCTGGGTAAGCGCCCTGTGTTACAAGAGAAAAACTAACTCGAGAGGGACGGCGAGAGAGAATGACCACATTTGGAAATAACGTTCATTTTCCCCAGACCAGAGGGGGAGGGGAGAGCTCCTTGCTTTCATTTCAGAGCAAAGGTGACGGGGACACGCACGGATGAAAGCCAAGGGCAGCGCCAAGGTAAACTGGCCAGTTGTGGTCTCCCTGCGCGCCGAGGGCTCCCAGAACCGCGCGCTCATTTGGCACTTCCGCCCGCCACTCTCGTGTCCTGGAGGTCCTCAACCTCAGAACTCGCCTCGGCCAGCTGATCCAGCCTGCCCTGCAGGCCTGGGTCCACCCTGCCAGTGGCCCAAGGGCGTTGGAGCTGTAAACCCAGATGTCACTCTGGAAATCCTTTCTCCCTCACGTCCTAGAGCCCTGCTCCCCTCTTTAACGCCTACGGAACTTCTCCTTCCCCTCTGCGCCCATTAAATCTTGCACAAAAACCTCCGACTATTGCGCAATCCGCGCAGGCAAGTGCAGGTGTCCGTGGTGTGGCAACCTGTCGGAATGAGGCCAGCCGCCCCCGATTATACAGCTGTCCTCAGGCACATCGCCCCAAATCCCATGACCCTAAGTGATCAATAAGTCCCCTATGGCCCCGTGCCACGCAACAGTCCCAGCACGAAACTGCGGCTTCCATACGATCATTGTGCCCACAGTCGCCTGCAGTCAACTGTCCTCTCCGCAGTGGAAGAGAGAACTCTAAAACGCAGATCTGATCTTTCTCGCTCCACGGAACAGCTGTCCCGTGACCTCCGGGGACTATGTCCGAGTTCCTCAAGAAGTCCCGCGGGCTTTACCCTCGGGTCGCCGGCCCTTGCCTCCTGTGCACCCCGCAGTTCCTCGATGGCAGGGTGTGCGCAGGACCCCTGCGGTGCCCCGGGCCTTTGCACGTGCCGTCTTCCCCTCGCCCCCTCGCCCCCGGGCGGACACGGGCTGGACCTTCGGATCTCACCAGTTACTTCTGTTCTCCGGGTCAGCACCGCTCGGCGCACACAGCGGACGCTCAATAAACGTCCTTGGGACTTTATAGCCGTGCTAGGGAGAGCCGACCGTGCGCAGCTGCGGACCTCCGCCCCTGCCCCACCGCCCCTCGGCCACCGTCCGACCCTGACGTCATCGCGCCGCGCCGCCCGCCTTCGTCGCCCAGGAGACGCAGAACGCGTTCGGAGCGCTCTGCCCGCAGGGGAGGCTGCACGGTTCCGCTGGGGCGCAGAACCTTGGCTGGACGCTCCCGGGCGCTCTTCCAAGGGGGCCCCCTGCACCAAAATCCCTGGGACGTTTGTCTGATTTGCGGATTCCAGCGCTACGAGATCAGAACCCCCGAGGCTGGGCATTCTCAAATTAGCACTCCCAAGTGCTCGTGAAGTCAGAGAACCATGGGGGGGCGCCCCCCAGGCCGTGAGAGCGTCCCCACTGGAACCGAGCCCTGCTGTCCGTAGCGGTAACCCCCTCGATAGCCATCCTTTCCCAGCGTCACTTTCCTCCTCTCTCACGCTTCCCACCTCACTCCCGCGTTCGGGGTCGGCTCCGGATTTGCAGCACGCGCCCAAAGCCTTGCCTCAGTCTCTGTTTGGGGGCATCCAAATGAAGACCGGCACATCCTATTAAATGTATCAAGACAGAATCAGCTGGACCTGGCAATTTACAATATAAAGAGGAAGGAGCGCGCAACGGGTTTCCATTTAAGGGGACTGGACGACGGGCAGTGCGGTCATGGGGAAGTGAAAGGTAAGTTCAAGTTTAGAGACCGTCAAGTTGCAGATGTTGGTGGGACATCTGGATGGAGAGGTTCAGCTGACACTTGGAAGTTTTCTACTGCTATTCTGTTTTGAAACACCTTCCCTTTCATTCCATGACAGTATTTTTCTTCACAGTTGCGACTCTTATTCCAAACAGACTGACTTCTTATTCCGGGTGTCAGCCCGGCTTCCCGTTGCAAAGCGGAAGGAAGAGACCGGTGGACACACTAGGGCCCTGCGTGCCCGCTCCTGAGCGGTGAGAATTGATCTTCCGTGTAGGCGCAGTTCCCGCGAGGGGTCCTTCTGACACAAAGGCGACTGGCCCCAGTGACGTCTGCGGTTCCTGGCCGAGACGGGGTGTTGAATGGTGTGTCGTTAAGGGGCATGTACGCGATCGTGGCCGCTTAATTTGGAGGTTCGGATTCACAGACAATAAAAACTCCAAGTCAAAGGTGAATAGTTAAGCACTTTATTAAGGGAGAGCAAAGCGAAAGCAGGAATCAAGAGCGTCCATCACAGAGGGAGGTCACCTACACCAAACGCAGGCGCCGGGGAATCCCGGAGACGGCAGCATTCGGGGTTCCTCTGGGAAAAGTTCCCAGCGAAGTGTCCTTCCCTCGGGTGGGATTCCAAAGCCGCACTGTGGGGGCTGTGATTGAATATGTTTTTGACAGAAGTGGCCACACACCAGGGGCCTTATGTGACTCAGCTAACCAACAGGTCCCTCTGGGAGAAGGGCCAGTTCACGCAGAAGGAACAGTTAAATATTAAGAGTACTCATCTCACCCTGGCTGCTGCTCAGTGGATTGCAGTGCCGGCCTGCGAGCTGAAGGGTCGCTGGTTTGATTCCCAGTTGGGGCACATGCCTGGGTTGGGGGCTGGGTTCCCACTGGGGGACTCACAAGAGGCAACCACACACTGATGTTTCTCTCCCTCCCTTCCCCTCTCTAAAATAAAATAAATAAAATCTTTTTCTCTTTTTAAAAAGTACCGATCTCTCGGGGAGAAGGGCCAGTTCTCCCTGGGAGACAGCACGCCTCTGTTCCATTCTTACGATAAAGGTCACGGCTCAGGCATAAACACAGAAGATTCACAGTGTCCCTTTAACCCGCCCAAATGGACACATCTCCACTGCAGGTAAACCTCCATCTCGTTATAGTGTGTGTCCGTGCTGTGCCGGCCTTCGGAGTGTGGGACATGCCACACAGCCACCTCGGGGTGGAGGGGCCCGCGAGGTTACAGCGGAGCTTCCGCTTAGAGGCCCTGCCACTCGCAGGGCTCAGCCGCAGGCACAGCAGGGCTGTTCCTCCGTTCGACTGCAGGTTTCTTCATCCCCTTTCCGTACCTGGGACCTAGGTGCAGGGGTTCGGGGTGTCCCGCTTGGGCCTCTCTAGAGCTGCACTGTCCAACACAGAAATCACTAGCCTTGTGTGGCTATTTTCATTTAAACATGCACTAGTTAAGGCGAAATGAATTTAGCGTCCACTTCCCTAGTTGCATCAGCTATTGTATTTGCAAAGATTCACAAACAGAAACCTCATTCAAACCTCCAAGCCAGGAGGACCTGTAGGGCGAGCCCTCACACCCTGCCCCTGGGGCCCATGAACCCAAACAAGGAAAACCTGATTTCTTAATTAGGCAAAGATAGGGAATGAGCATTCGGAGCCGAGGGATCACCTAAAGGGAAGCTCTCGGGTGGGAGGGAATGGGCTGGGCAAGCTCCAAGAGCAAGAAGACCCCGGTGGCAGGAGCCGAGCTCGTGAGAGGAAGAAACCAGGTTGGGAGGGCAGGGGCAGGACCAGGGTGTGTGGGGCGTTGCAGGTAGGAGCCAAGGGGCGGGTTACATGTCGTCTTAGTCCAGTGGGTGGGTTTCCAGCAAGAATATCAGCCCGTGTACAGTTTTCCACCCCCCCCCCACAAAACATTGGTCCCTGAATGTATGCCCACCCAGTCCAAGTCGTAGGGCCCCAGGAGTCGGTTCAGTGATTTTTATTGCTCTGCTATGCCCAGAGGATGTGCTGTCAGAGCCCCCACACAGGCAGGCCTCCCAGCCATGAAAGGGCCTGGAGCGCAGAGCCCGAGAAACCAGACGTTGGAGGGGAAATCAGAGCGGACGCCTCACCTCGCTGCCATTTTGATTAGGGGCGTTACACACCAGGGCAAAGGGAAAAACAAAAGCACTTTGCATCCTGAGGTCAGCTAACGCAGGCAAGGATGCCCAGTCTAAGGCCAGTGCCCTGGATCGACGAGCCTTTCCTAGGAGGCGCTAACCCCCCGGTGAAAGGCTAACCCCTGAAAGACACATGTTTGGGTATTTTGAGGGTGTCGGCTCTCTCCCGCGTGGTAGAACGTTGAGTGTTCTCAGTTAATGTCTCGACTGGATCGCTGTCAACCTCAATAGTCTACCCGGCAGTGGGCCACCGTCCAGTGAGAAATCCCCAGCACAAAACTTCACACGCCACTGCTGACACGTTCGACCCATCGCAGCGCCTTCCCCACACGCTGCACACATCTTCTCTTACCTTTCAGGTGTGTGTTTACCTCTTGGAATAATAAAGCATAATATGTCAAAAATGTGTATTTTTTTCTATCTCCCACATTGAGATAGCTACACGAAAATTCACCAATTCTGATGTTTTTTTAAATGCACACCGATATGACAGCTGTCACAATACAGTCTAACAAAATTGTTCCGAATGGAGTTAAAGACCACTAAACATTACTAGAGCCGTCTTATGGGGAAAAAATGACCTTTTTGGCTGACCCAAATGTATGCATAACAACGGACATAGACACAACCAGTAAGATTTGGAAATAATTATGAATCCTTTAGCTGCCCCATCTACATTAAACCTGTTTGGACAGTATAGGGGACTGAATTATGCCCCCGTCTCCCAGCAAGATATGTCAAAGTCCTTATGCACTGTACAAGGACCGTATTTGGAGGTGGGATTTTTGGAGAAGAGACCAACACGGGGGAAAGGGCACGTGGCCACGAGGCAGAGATGGGAGGTCTGTGGCCACAAGCCAAGGAAAGCCACTGACTGACTGATGGCGAGCCCAGAAGTGAGAGGCAGGGAGTCGATTCTCCCTCGGAGCCTTGGGAACCGTAAGAGCATAGCTTCCCGTTGTTTTAAGCTACCCGTTGGGGGTAACTTAAGGCCGCCCCAGAAAAGTCATGATGAGTCGCATGATCTGAGTTAGTTTTGACTTAATGTGGTTCTCAGAGACACCATCTAGGGAACGAAAACAACCCAACTGAGGCACTGATGTGCAAAAAGGACGACGGGCCCCCGACGTTTCTGTTTCATCACTAGCTTCTGCAGACTGTGCCTGTGCGGTTGGCTTCAACCGGCAGCGCCCACCTTCCCCGACGCAGGCGACAGCTGACGTAAGACATAGCGCACGCCGTGGCTCTCCCGCATAAGAATGAGGGGAACGAGCTTCCATAAGAGGCGTCATCTTGAACTTTCACAAACTCGGGCTCCTTGGTCGTGAGGCATCAACACTGGAGACAATCCGACGTGGGACGCCGCTTTCATCCTTAGGATTTCATAAATGCACCACCTCCGGACTCTCCAAAGCTCACCTCTGATCGTGCTTCTGTGAGGCAACAACACGCCTGGAATGGATCCATACCCCCAGGATGAAGCAAAGGTTAAATTCCGCAGCTGAGAACTCCGCAGTGCAATCCAGCCAGGGACTGCTCGGGCGCGTGCTCCGGCTCGGGCCCCGGCCCCGCCCTTCTCCCGTCGGGCCCCGCCCCTCTCCTGTCCGGCCCCGGCGCCCCGCCCCTATGACGCTACGCGCCGCCTTCCGTCATCGCCGCGCGCCGCCGCCTGGCTCTTGGCGCTGGCTGACCATGGCGGAGGTGGGCCGGTCCGCGGTGCGCGACCCCGGTGCGCTGCTCCCGGGCGGCTTCTGGGCGGCGGTGGCTGTGTGGCTGGAGAGGCCGCAGGTGGCCAACCGGCGGCTGTGTGGCGTCCGCCTGGAGGCCCGGCGGAGCGCTGCCCTACCCCGGACCGAGCAGGAGGCGCGGGCTGCGGCGGGATGCGGGCCCGAGGAGAGATCGGGACACGGTCCGCGTTCCCGCGAGGACGGCCCGGGCCCCAGGCCGAGCGCAGGCCCTGACGAGCCCCAGGGCCTGCGCCACCAAGGCGAGGACAGGAGGGAAGCAGCCGCAGCGCCTCTGCTCGCCGGGGCCCCGGGACAGCCCAAGGAGGCTGGAGGCGGGGAGGGCGACTTCACCACCTCGGAGCTGGATTCTCTCTGGGACGATTTCTCCCGAGGCCTCGTCGGCGACCATCGGGAGCTGCTGGCCTTCCTCACTGGCTCAGGGGCAGGACTGCAGCCAGAGGCTGAGCGCGAAGTCGACGTGGTTCTCAGAACCGTCATCCCGAAAAGGAGCCCGCATTGCCCCCTTGCTGCTCCGAGAAGGGAAATCGTCGTGCAAGGTAGGGGTGTTTCTGAGACCCGGAGGTGTCCAGATGGGCAAAACCGGACACGAGTTAACGTGGCAAAGATCGAGTTTAAAATGCATTTGCAACCGGGAGATGAGGCTAGATTGCCCCAAACGCTTGGGTTTGTGTGACCAGGCGTTTTAAAGGGAGAATGAGCGGGTGGAGGTTGATGCACGTGAAACCCACCTGGGTTTGGTAACTGGTGCATCTAAAAGCCTCTGCCCTCCCACAGAGAGGAGGAGATGGGCCCCAGCTTCAGGTGTGGGCTGGAAGAGTCTTGTTTTTTGTCTGGAATTTTCTCTGGAAGGCATGTAAGGGGAGCCTCGGATCATCCTAGGGATGCAGCTTTCAGCTGTTAGAAATCATGTTAAACGTCTGTTTTGAGTGTTTAATGAGCCAGTGCTGAGGCCGAGTGGAGAAAGGACCCAGAGGAGGCTGGCTCGAGTTTGGTCAAGGGAATCGTCGTCAGAGGACGCAGTGAGGTGAAAACACGTTCGTGGAACCCCAGGTCAGTGAGAAGGCACAGGAGGTACCCAACCGTGCCAGTGCCTTTGCGGTGTCCTAGGGACGTTGTAGCTTTTTCACGGTTTGAGGGGGTGCATAGCAGTGTATTTCCATTATACAGAGGATGGTCGTTGGTTGGGGTGCTGCCTGGAAGGCTTGGGGGACACGGGGAACAGCAGACAGGAGTCTGGCAGGTGAAGAGGTACGTGAAAAGGCCCTTCCTGGGGGAGCCCACAGAAGGGCCCCCTGGCTCCCGGGCTAGCTCCCTGCGTCGCAGAGCCGGCCAGGGTCCACCCTTCTCACGCTCGGAGCCTCTCCGACTTCCCCTTCTGCGCCGCTTCTGCCTCCAGCTGCAGGAGGTTCTCGGCTTCCAGGGCTCCCGGGACTCGATGGAGCCCACCTGCACGCTCCCTCTCCGAAGGTCTGTAACCTGACCCGCAGCTGTGGAGTCTCTTTGTGCCACGTTAGGAGGTAGTCACGGGTTCTG